TAGGATGTCCACTTTGTGTTCTTTGATCCTCACCTCCAACAATCTTTTTGTGGATCCCACGTATACTAAGTCTTTATCACACCTATGATCTTTTATAGGGATCCTGTATATTCTTGCTAATTTGTTTTGGTGTGGAGTGTCTTTTGCATTATTTAGCATTCTAAATATAGTGGGACATCTTCTAAATATTAAGGAGGCTTGTTTTCTTTTGGCAATCTCTTTGTAGATTTTCTCTAGGTATGGATTGTAAGTAATTAGGATTCTGTCTTTCTGAGCGTTACTTTGTTGCCCTTGTGGTTCTGTTTGATCAGTTCTTTGTGAATGCATCATTTTTTCTATCCTTATGGCTATCCTACTATTATATCCATGTCTTTTGGCCATGATATTAATGGTGTTGATCTCTGTATCCAGTGCCTGCGTTGTCGATGAGTGGGTATATGCTCTATTCACCAAGTTATTAAAGGCTGCTATCTTATACTGCCATTGGTAACATGAATGCGCAGGGATATACAATTGATCTGCCTGAGGTTTTCTGTATACCTTTGTGTTGATAGAGCTTCCTTTCACTATGATGTTCATGTCGAGAAAATGAACTTGTTTGTCGCTCTCCTGTTCGAGGCCCACAGTTAATCCATACGAGTTGTTATTAAATGCCGCTATGACTGCCGTCATGTCAGGTGTAGATTTCCATAATATGATTATATCATCCACATATCTTTTGTATGTAATAATATTGTGGAGTAGGTCCGGCAGTACTTTCTGTTCTAGGAGTCTAATTATTAGTTCACATAGATCTCCTGCTATTTGGCTCCCCATTGGTACCCCTCTTTTCTGTTGATATACCTTGTCTTTGAATTGAAAGAAAGAATTGTAGCACAATAAATGCGCTAACTACATACCAACAGACTGCCGAAAATCTATCGGGCTAGTTCTATGCTAATTATTAAATAAATTACGTAATCAATTTGGCACTAGAGGTAAGCGTTAGGCGCCATCTCTTATTAATATTAATAATTATAAATAAATTAATTAATTTAAATAATTTAGAACCGCTGGGAGAATAATTAAATAAATTAAATAAAGAACATTATGTTAATTTAAGCGTACAGAAACGTTGCAGTTGNTTTTTTCTCCCAGCGGTTCTAAATTATTTAAATTAATTAATTAATTTATAATTATTAATATTAATAAGAGATGGCGCCTAACGCTTACCTCTAGTGCCAAATTGATTACGTAATTTATTTAATAATTAGCATAGAACTAGCCCGATAGATTTTCGGCAGTCTGTTGGTATGTAGCTTTATTATATATCGGGTTTGATGATGTTTATATAAATGCGCTAACTCTAGTATATCTTGATGGTGGTTACTGTCCCCAATTATATTTATTAGCAAATCTCTTAATGCACAGAAGGCAGGTGGAAGGAGTAAAGAAGGGTATATATAAGGATTTAAAATCTAGCACAGTGAGGTAGTGTGGAGGTTATTAATCCGCTTGAGTAGAGCTATGATTACTTATGTTAAACTGGTATTCTTCTAAATGTGGCGCTATTATATAGTGCATTTTCTCTTCTAGTTTGCGTGTTGGAGCCCGAATCTTATCTATTAAAAAATAATGTATTAATTTTTTTTCCAAACCTGTTTTTAATTAAATACAGTGTGTGCAAAAAAACTTACCACATTTGAAGATCAATAATGAAAAATTTGTTCAAGATATTCTAAATTTTATTTCATCATATCAAAGAACACGCAATACAGTTTTTTCAGCTGTTTTTGAAAAGAAGATCTTCCAAATAGCAGCCATTGTTATTGATGCATGCCTGCAGCTGATTTCTGAATTCCACTAAGACCCAGCAGGTTATTTCAGGAGGAACAGCAGCAACTTCTTGGTGAATAACATCCCTTAAAGCATCAAGAATTTTTGGTTGATGAGTGTAAACTCTGGATTTCATATATCTGAGAGAAAAAGTCACAGTGGATAAGATTGGGTAAACACACAGGCCATCCAATATTGCCATACCTAGATATTATTTCTCTGGAATATTTCTCTTAAAACCTATAGTAATCTATAAATCTAAGATAAAACTATAGCTATAAGCCATAGTTTTATGCTTTCTCCTTTGAAGCAGTAAGATCCCACAACATGAAAATGGGCAATGGTGCACCACTCAGTAAGATATTCACTGCACAAAAGTCTTTCACATAATATTTAGGGATTATTTTTCCCCAATAATGGAAATTCTGCTTGTTTATAAATCAACTCAAATGAAAATTAAATGAAAACTCGTGAACTCTCATTCTGATTGCTACATATGAGTACAGCATCTCTTGGAATATATTGAATAATGTTCTCATATAACTCTCTGCAGTTTTCCCAGTCTATAGAACTGAGTTCTTGTACTGTCATCTTTTTGTAGGGATGAAATTGCAGTTCCTTTTGTAAGATTCTTCTTAAACTGGTATCAAAAATTTATAAAGTAGAAGCATTCGTACACATGGAACATCTTGAAGATCACAAAAAGTCCCTGACAACTTGAATATTCTTAGGTGGTGTTTAGATGGTTTCTCTTTAGAGCTGAACATGTTGCCTTAAAATTATCAACCAAAAGCAGAATGGTTTTTTGGTCTGGGATATCTTTATTATGACCAATGGTAAGATTATTTTGGAAGGCTCTTTGTATAGTGATCACAGAGTTGTTTTTGATAAATGCTTCAATAGTGAATGCATGATGCTCAACTGACAAGTCATGTGGACTACTGAAAATGATACAGGATGTGCTACCAAGAGACCCCAACAGCACCACTTAATCATCTCCACAGTTGGTGCTGTACAATGACCTGCCCAAATGTAGCTGCTTTTTTTGGCACACACTGTATAACTTATCAGTTACAAACATTTAAACAAAAAATATTATGTCATGGCTTTAAAAATATAAAATTACAGATATTGACTACCAATAATAATAATAAATGAAATGTATTATTAGTCAGCCAAAATACTTGTAAAGCCACTATTATTGATTTCTAATTTTAATCAAATTATAAGAATAACCCACAGTAACCAGAAATGTAATGTACTTTTTTACAAACCTTCAATATGAGAAGTTTAAAAAAAAAATGTGATTATAAAAATTTATAGAAACAAGATTAAGAGCTATGTTTAAGAATAAAGAATTCATTTTGATGAGTTTACTTATTAAAAGGATGGCATTCATATTAGGCATATTTTCATTTTAAGACTATTTTTTAAACTGTGAATAAATGGAATAAAGTTAGTCTGTAATGAATTTTTTTTCATGTGAATACATCTTTAAATGTGGTCCAGTTTAGAGGGAGGTCTGTATGAAAACTTGAGCAACCAAAAATATGGCAAGATATGTTGTGCTTATTTCTTGTAAACTATAAATTATGATGTAATTATTTAAATTTTGTTGGATAGAAGGTTTATGTCTGAATCTAAAATAGTGGGTATTGAGGGTGTGCAACAGTGAGGGGACAGTACACTGCCCAAATCCCACACACCCTTGCTATTTTCAGTGTTCATAGCAATGGTGTGTGGGATTTGGCAGTATAACTTTGGTTGTGAAGAGATAGGACATTGAAACTGTTGTTGATTTGTAGAGAATAGAATCTACATATTATTAGCAATAATAACTGATAAAATAAAGTTTGTAAAGTTATAAGCCAAAAACTGTGAGTTGAAGAAAATTTCATAATGTTGAAGAAATTGCAAAGGAAATGTGAACAGAAATGTAAGAAAAGTATATCATTGAAAACAAAATTCAAAAGGAATCAGAAAAGTCCAAATCAATTAATGCCAAATGATGTAGTTTGTATAGATAGCATAAAGAAACTGGCATCAATGCCAGTACGAGTACTTTGAGTGCTACCATTTCAACTGATGGATATTGACATAGATAGAATATGATAACTTTGAAAACATAAACAATTTAATGAGAAGAAATGACAATATTATAGTTATGGTTTGTTATGAAGAGTTTGTAAATAGTGGCAGTGGGCTGATGTCTGTTACAAATTAGTATTTGTCAAGAATGAGTTGTAATGTTTGTGATTGCTTTTGGTTTATTAGGAAAATTGTATCAATATGATTCCAGATACTAACGTACCCATTATCCTTACCAGTGATTTCAATGTCAATGTTACTCAAAAAAAATCACTTATAAACAATATGCAGTGTGAGTTCAACTTGAAGTACAGTACATTTCTACATTGCCTACTTGTAAGTAATAGATTACATCCATGTTGCAATTTATTATGTCAAAGAGAATCACAATACTCATTGAATGACTGGAAGTCACTCACTCACTGACATGAAATACTTAGAAAGAAATAGATTTCTAGACAAAACAAAGTAGTGCAGTGAAATTTGTGTTTTGGCTTTAAAAATGTATGTTCAAAGATATTTCTACATTATTTATTTTATTTTCTGCATTTACTGAAAGATGTTACTAGATTGTGTAAAACATACACTTTAAGCAATTAATTTGTTTTATTGCTTTTTGTGAACTTTGTAAATTTCTTTTTACTGGATATTTAGATATAACTGAAAGAATAAATCTGACTTGATATGTTAACTTGATTGATGTGGAGTGCTGTTTCAGCTACCATAATCTACGTTAAAGATATTTAGATTTGTTTTCTGTAAACTATTTTATTTAAATTAAATTTTAATGTTACTCATTGAAAAATTTGTTTATAGTATTTGAAGTGTTGTTATCTGAAAATTAATAAAAGGTTTTTTATAACAAGTTGATAAACATAGTTATATTTTGTAAAATACTTTTTTCATTATATTAATCAAAACATGTATTTGTATTTTTAGTGTTGTTTTCTTTTATTTAATACCTGTGCTAACGTAGAAATGTATATTACATATATATGTTATCCTCATTTTCATAGCTGTACATTTTCTTAGAAATATATTCTTAGTAATTAAAGTTTGATATTATTTAAATATTCAAGCAAACTTTTTACTTTTAGTACATTCACACTCATTATCACGAAGATCCTGAGAGTTACAATAAAGAAATTAAAGATTTGGAAGCATTGAGGCAGGTAAGTCAAACAAAACTTTGTACTTACAATTTTTGAACTACTGAAAAAGAATTTTAATTCTTGATTATGATATTTTATAAATACAGTTGATTCTGCTTAATTGGGACACATTGGGACCTGACTAATTTCCTTGATTAAGCAGCTGTCCCAGTAAAGCAAAATTTAAGGAATCAAAAAAATCTGATAAAAAAAATGAGTTATAAAGAAAAAACCATTTATTGGAAAATATAATTAGAATTCAGTATGCACACTTATATGTATGATATATATTTGTAAATAACTTCAAGTTTAAAGATAACATATTAAAATATAATCATTAAACTAATAATGAACAATTATTTTTTCATAAATTTATCAAGCATATCTTGATACATTTTCTTTATACTCTGCAAGTGGACAGAATCAGTGAAGGCATCCAGTGCAGAAATGGGACATCCTTAATTTCCATCTTGCAGAAAATATTGTCTTAGTGCAAGAATAAATTTTCTGGCTTCTAAGTCTATATCTTCTTCAGTTTTAGGGTGATTTTTCTAAAACAACATGTTCAATAATAATTGCATCTACATAATTCTTATTTTTATTGTAACATGGAAAGTTGTTATTAATGTATAAAAATTTTTTGTGATTTCTAACATTTTGTTGTTTTTTCGATTTCAAATGATTTCACTATTATCAGTTATATCTTGCTCTTAAAATCATAATGGAAAATGAACAATTATTTATTGTGACATCGTGGCAATGCCAAGCGGCAATTTTTAATTTATTTAATTTAAAATATATGCTCAAATTAGTACTGTAGTGTCTTGCTCCTTCACATCATACTTTTCTGTTAGCAATGGAGTTGTGCCTGTCATCTATCAGTTAGATAGGTGACTGGCAGGGAAAAATTTTTGAATTGAAATAATGTGACTTTTGCTTTGCATAAGAAGTTCATATATAGTTAATCAGGGCCTACTGCCCCTAAGCTTTCCATATCTGGTCTTGAATTTTTTTTATCTAACACTGTTCTCAAGATTAACCTGTCCTACGTTGATCCCGAAAATATTTGTGTTGACTTCATTGACCTGTGTGGGCGATCCTGAATATTTCCGTGTTTACATCAGAACATTTTTGATACTAGATGTTGCTTTGCATCACAATTTTTATATTAAAACAAACTTAAAATAACATTTTTTTTGTTTTTATATTATTCAATATATATATTTTGTTTGTGAAACATAAAAAAATAATTTTTTACAATACAGTAAACATGATTATTATTTAAAAAAAAAATTTAGGCTTAACATCAACGAAAATTCAACATGGCATCACAGGCAACAAATAAAAATTTCAACATCGAATAGGTTAAGGAAAGACAGATGGATGGACAGACGACAGTGGGAATTTATAGGTCTACAATTTTTTCAAATTGTGCTACAGTGTATTTTGCTTCAACTACCAGCAGCATATTGTATTGCTTGTAAAATAGTAACCTTGGAATTAATCTTGTCTGCTTTTGTAGATGATATTTTCTTCAATTGGTTTGGTTTGGTTTATTTGGTTATTACAATGTGACATGTGGGCAGTCTGCTGAGAGATGCCTCCCAGGAGGACTTTCTACGGGAAACTGGCCCTATTTAGTTGTTACAAATGTGAAGAAAACCCAGAAAGCTACATATGGCCAGCCTGTTGACAAACCTACAACTAACGACAAGTATTCTGTGATTTTATCCACTTGAACTTGGCCACTGGTAACCATTTTCTTCAATTGCTTCAAGGATGTGTTATATCAGCCTTCTGTGACACAATGTTTTCAGATTTTTTATGATTCCTATATGCAATTGTTATATCAAGGGCAACAAGTAAATAGTTTCCTATTAAATAGTCTGTTATCCTATGTATATGTGTAAATAGTTTACATAAATAAACAGGTATTATCCTTTTATAATTAATTGGTCAAATTGGCTTGATTGAAGTCTTGAGGTTGCAAAACGTCCTGATGATGGGATGGAGAGGTTTCAGCTAGGTTTGGTAGAGGCTCCTTGATGATACAGTTTACTATTACTAGTATTATATTTTATATTACTAGTTTACTAGTATTACTATAAAATGCTCGTTGCTAAGGCGTCTATAGTGAATGGCGGACAAATGGATCGGTGAAAGGGCGGTCTATTAGCGAGAAGAAACTTAAGATGAATGTCTTTCAAACATTACATGACGATGAACAGCAAAGTTGTCCAAGAGCAGCAGAACTGTTTTTGACTTTTTCTGCAGTTCTACATCTCAGTTCATATACCATTTCAGAAAAATATTGGAAATCATACATGGATTATTGTTGGCATAATAATCAACTGGTAAACAGTTGATTCTAAGAGCTTTAAAGCACCAAAGCTGAGCATGCTTTCCAATGACTAATAACTTCTGTTTATCAGCAGCACAATATTGTAATGTTTCCCTTTTTTTTTTTTAACTTGACAATACTTCATATTTATAACTTAGAGCTGTCTTGAACAGCATGGTAAAATAACCCTGTTTCATCTATCTGCCCTGTAGACTTGATCAGGACTCATGAATTTCTTCAGCAATTCAAGAGCAACTTTCCATCTTTGGCACTCATAGTATCAGCACTGGTTATTCACCGTGTGCCTTCTTAAATTTTATTTCATGTCTGGTTTTCCATCACAATAACCAACCACATTGTGACCAAAGGGTCGGCACTAGATTGGCGATGGCAATTTGTTCATTCATGTGTGAGCAGTCAGATTCGGGAGGTTGGACATTTGAGAGATAACACAGCCAAAAGAAGTGCACACCACAACCTAATTATAAAAGAATAATAACTGTTTATTTATGTAAACTATTTACACATATACATAGGATAACAGAAAGTTTTGTTATAGCTTTTACATAGTGTCATATAATGGATAAGGCTTATGTAGTGTAACATAATTGATTAGGCTTTATACTAGTAGGTACTGTTTTAATGTGTTTCTAGCTGAGAGAGAGAGAGAGAGAGAGCTTACATTTTTACACGTGATGCTAAATACCTTGATCAGTCGAATCAACTTGATTGAAGTCTTGAGGTCGCAAAACGTCCTGATGATGGGGTGGAGAGGTTTCAGCTAGGTTGGGTAGAGGCTCCTTGATGGTACAGTTCACTATAAAATGTTCATTGCTAAGGTGTCTAAGGGGAACAGCAGTCAAATGGATTGGTGAAAGAGCTGTTGAATGGATCAGTGATGGAGCATGTTTAAACTACACTCACATGAAAAGGAGTTGGATTGGCTAACTCTCGTTGTTGGTTCAATGCTATTCTTTTATTTTAAGGGTCCTCCCTCTTGATTTTGATGCCCTTTTTAGACAATGTTAACTTTTTTGACCAATAGATGTTTTTCAGGTTAAAGTTCCTAAATTCCTGGGAATATACACATTCGGAAGATGTGTCACCTTTGGAAAGGAAGTGAATCCGGGGGGGGGAAATGTGATCACATCCTTCCATTTTTTATTAAGTGTTGGAAAAATATTTCTTTATATAATATGAGAAATTTAAGTGTTGTTCTTAAATAAATTTATATACTTTATTCTGGTTAAATAAAATTTTCATTCCCTCCTGGCTCTCACACACGTATCTGTAGCTATGAAATTCATATGACCCATCTTTGTAGCTAATTCTTCTGATTTGGTTTTTAACATTGGTCTATTAGTATGTACTCCTCTTTGCTGCATATGCTGTCCTGATAAAGCAGCTGAATGTCCCAAGTAAGCGAGGTAAATTGGCCTTATATTATCTCTTGTTTCCGTCATTCAATATATGTCCTAAATAAATGGCAGTTCCAATTAACCAGAATGTACTGTATTCCATTATGAAAATCTTAAAGGTTAGTTGTACTAATTTGTAATTACAGTGGAACCCCGGTTAACGAACGTCCTGGTTAACGACCAAATCGGTTAACGAACTTTTATTTTGCAAAAATTTTGTCTCGGATAACAAACAAAATTCAGATAACGAACGTAACGGTATTTTGTGTCAAATTTTAGTTGGTGTTAGGCATGCGCGAGTTAAGCATTGCTTTTCCGAGTGTTTGTGCTATACTTCTTTTTTCAGTTTTGTGATTTATATATTTAATCAATATGGCATCCAAGAAAGAAAAAAGTCATAGTGGCAATAGAAAACGACAACGCAATATAAACGACAATGCGCTATCGCATTTGAGAAAAATTTTGATTAAAAGAGTAAGACAATCAACTTTAGATCAATTTCTTGTTTCTTACGGAAGAATTTGTTTCTTTGTTAAATTATGGCAATGCAACACTTGGGCGATTTGCCTAGGGGGAATGCCTTCTGGGAGGTGTTTTTAAGGGAAACTGGCCCCTATTTAGGCGTTACAGACGTGGAGAAAACCCGAAAAACTCCACGTGGCCAGCCCGTCTGAGCGAGGTGTGAATCCACGAACGAACTCCCCGTGTTCAGGGTACTAAGATCGCTTAGCCACTCGTTGGCTTTCTTACCGAAAGAGACTTCGACTCGAAGAATCTTCCGATGAAGTGCTACCCGTTATTTTTTTGAAGGGGATTCCCCTTCTAAGCATTAAGGTTCGTATATCTCCACTTTTCTGCCACCAACTACAACAAACGAAAATATGTACAGTGCTATTTTATTAAATAAAGTTTACATGTTTGTTGCTGTAATGATAGATACTGTACTACGTTTTCCTATATTTTCATCAAAGAAAATCTACTGTGTATTACAAATAAAATCACAAAAATTTCGGAGACAAGAACGGATTAATTGCATTTGCATTAATTTCTATGGGAAAAATTGCTTCGGTTAACGGATTAAGTTCGTTAACCGGGGTTCCACTGTATATTGTATAAAAATTACTGTTACAATGACTTGATTTTATAACTCAAAAGTCTATAAAGAAATAATTAAGATTTAAAAAGAAAAACATCAAGAATCAAGACTTCAGTCAATGATGATTTTCTGTATTTTCTTCTGTCTTAAAGATTCACAATATTTT